TTGTTTGCCATTTTCCAGCCTATTTCTCGACTTTTAACTTTATGTTAAAATTGTGCTCTGCTCACGGGGTGGAGACACTGTCCCAAGGTTTGGGTTTTTTTATGTAGCTCATTGGGGGGGGGAGAGGGGGAGGTCTATAAACTTTCAGTTATTCCAAGGTGGTATGATCTAAGAAGAGATGGCCTGTTCTCTCCTGGCCTGTGCTCTGCTCTGTGAGTGACCACAAGCACTCTTTGCTGCTCTCAACCAAGAGAAGAGTTCCTGCTCCCCTGGGGCCACAGGCTCTGGTTTGCTAGTGCTCCTCCTCACCCTGGAACTATGACTTAGGACTGCAACTGGGCTCCATATGTGGGCAATGCAACAGAGCCCAGAACCCAGTGCCAACAAAAGGACTCTTTTAATCTCCTTCTGACTAGTTGTCTGACCCACTTACCATCTGTGGGCCGAGAGTTCCAGGTTGATACAGTTGCTCTCAAGGCCTGCTGCTGATTTGCGGGGGTGTGGCCTATACTGGCACAGCCAGTGCCAATCTTCTAAATTATCTTGAGCTGGAAAAATGTTTAACCCTGTCCTTTTGTGGGCTCTGATGCACCACAATTTGTCTGGAAGCATTATTTAAAGTGCTTTGGAGGGGAACTTGGTAGAGCTCAGGCAAGTCCCTGCCATCTTGGCTCTGCTTCCCCAGTCTCTTCTCCCTTATTCTTCTCCAAGGCAGATTTTAATTCTTACCAGGAGAGGAAACAAGAGTTTGGGACCAGAAGCTTGGCCACTTTGTCCTCCCCAGAGAGGAAGGTAGTAGACTCAAATTATATCTATCTGCTTCCTTAAGTATTGTTAGTCTAGGCTCTAGGGGATGTGGTTTTCAGATTCAGGCTAACTTTTGATTGTTACTCATTACTGAGGGAAGCAGGACCCCAAGCTTTATAACCAAGCCTTGACTCTCTTCCCACAAAATGCCAGTTACACAATGAATACACATAGCAATTAGCAAAGCAACCCCCTTATGCAAGTTGAATAGCAAAATAAAATAAATGGAAATCAAAGAAAGCATACATAAGAGAATATATACCACACAATGCAGAAGGAGAGAATTTTTCCATTGAGAACAAGGTAACTCAAGTCAAGCAAGAGAGGCAGAAGTGAATCTCATCCAAGAAGGAAATCCCTGAAAAAGCTAGGGGTGGGGATGTGATGGAGACTGCCCGTTCCTCTCACGTTGTCTTCTTCCCAGAAGTTTTTACTTCAGCAACCTGAAGTGGGGTTGGTGTCAACCATCTTCTCTTTCAAAGCTGGAAAACCAGAAGCACCTGAAGTGACTCAAAGACTGTCAAGAGATTTAAGAGAGCAAAGATTTCTCTTCTCTCAACTCTGCCCTTCATGCAGGCTCAGGGCATTGATCTCCACCAATAAGTAGAGAGTATTATACCAATGGGCTTTGGGACAGGGAGATAGATAGATAGATAGATAGATAGATAGATAGATAGATAGATAGATAGATAGATAGATAGATAGATAGATAGATAGATAGGTAGATAGATAGATACATACATACATACATACATACATACATACATAGACACATAGACACATAGACACATAGATAGACAGATAGATAGATAGATAGATAGATAGATAGATAGATAGATAGATAGATAGATAGATAGATGCATAATAGATAGATAGATAGATAGATAGATAGATAGATAGATAGATAGATACATACATAGATACATAGATACATAGATACATAGATAGATACATAGATAGACAGACAGATAGATACATAGATAGATAGATACATAGATAGACAGATAATTTTCCTTTTCATAGAGTCATCATACAACTGCCCTTGGGGACGGTATCTATCAAAATAGAGGTAGTGGTAGCAGTAGCAGGACATTGTAGACTGGTGTCCAATGTTTATTCACTAAGTCCCCAAGAAGACTTGAAATCTCCCATTCTCAAAGGAGAAAGAAGAGGTGATGCTGTTGAAAAGTTCCAAGGAACACAGGATGCAAGAGGGAGGTGAGCCCACACCACTGCTGTTACTACTGCTGTTTCCTTGACTTTGCATGCAGTGAGAGAGAAGGCAAGACTTCAAGGGAAAGACTGTAGCCAAACTATATAGAAGCCACATGGAACAGATACAGAGCAGTTATATCTGTCCCTGTTTCTGAGAACAAAAACTGGTGACTCTGTACTTTCCTGACATTTGGTTTCCTCATACTCTTGTGTTTTTCCAAGAGAGTGATGAGTCTATTTCTCCAATACTCATTTCCCTTAAGAGATTGTTTTGCTTTTTGTTTTGTCATTTATTTTAAAAGAACTAGTTTCTCTAAGATATCATTCATTGTTTGTGTGTATCCCCAGTGATTAAATGTATAGGGGACAGCAGTGGATGTTAAAGTATACAAGAGAAATAAATAGGAGATTTTATACTGCTATATATGTATGTATGCATATAAACATGTAAGTGTATGCATATACATTTATGTATGTGTACATATACACATTCATATGCATAAATACATTTAGATGCATATGAGAGATGGAGATAGATTTTCTCTCTAATTGCTGGGACTTTTCCCAGCTAGGGGTTCAAAGTGAACTAAAGAGATTTAATGATTCATATTTTATAACATTATTGTTGTTTGTCCTTTGTTCTCAGAGAGGGCCATGACACCAGGAAGGTGATGCCATGACATGCAAGTCAATTGGATTTAAGAGAGGGAGAGCTGTGCAAGGTCACCAGCTTCACTTTCTCTTCTGGAGCCATCTGAGTCCAGTGGCCAGATATAGATCGGGACAACTGGATATGGCCCCAGACATAGCAGAAGATCTTGGCCTTTTTAAGCTAAAGTCTTTCCCAGGTCTCAGTTTGACTGAGACAACACCCATTCAGTGATTAAGATGAGGCTGCATAGATAAAAGAGTCTTCCCTTCATGCACCCATCAGGGCAGCTTAGCTCCAGGTAAAAACTGAGTAGAGGAGAGAAAGAGGTGCATGGTCCACTTGAAGGCCACTGCTCCTTTTGGGAAGAAAGAAGAAATAGTAAGGAAGATGACAAGATGCCCACCACCCTGGGTAGCCCAGTGTCCTTTGAAGCTAGTCATTGAAACCACCATTAATTAATGAGCCTCCAGCTTTTCAATCTAGTACAGCTAGGTGGGTAGGAGGAGCTAGATGTTGCAGCAGATACAGTGCTGGGCTTGGAGTCAGGAAGACCTGAGTTCAAATCTGGCCTCAGACACTTACTAGCTGTGTGATCCTGGGCAAGTCACTTAACTTTGGTTGCCTTAGTTTCCTCATCTGTAAAATGAGCTAGAGAAAGAAATGGCAAACCACTCCAGTATCTTTACCAAGAAAACCCCAAATGGGATCATGAAGAGTTGGACACAGCTGATACAACTGAAAAACAACAGCTAGTTGGGCACAGTGAATAGAGCAGTATGCCTAGAATCAAGAAGCTCTGAGTACAAATCAAACCACAGATACTTCCTGGCTATGTAACCTGGGCAAGTTGCTTAACCTCTGTGTGCCTCAGTTTTTTCAACTATAAAATGGGAATAATAACAGCTCTCATCTTGTAGGGGTGTTGTGAGAATCAAACGAGATATTTGTTAAGTGCTTAGCACAGTGCCTGGCACAATAGTAAGCACAACATAAATGCTTATTCTCTTCCCCTAGTGAATCAAAATCTTAATGTGGGAGGACAGAAAATCCTTTGAGGATAAATAGTTTTAAACTGCTGGTTTCTAGCTCTTCAGTGGCTCTTATCAAGCCGAAGGAGGCTTTAGCTTAACTGTGGGGAGGTTATTCAGGGAGTCAAAGCATTGATAGCCTTTGAAATCAAGCTAAGAGCTATATGAAATTAGGCCAATGGTCACATTTGCTCTACATTGAGAGCCTAGATACCCCTGATCAGAGCTCTGTTCTAATTTTAAGGTTGTCTCAGAAGTGGGGAGGGGGGGCGGGGAAAGAGGGGAAGGCATTGCTGGCAGATTTGAAGCCCAACCAATTTTCAACGATTTTTAAAGGACTCTGGATTTTAGTTCTGCCACCCGCCATAACTATATTCACCCTTTGCTAGGATCATTTGAACTCTCTATGCCTCAGCTTCTCAGTCTAAACTTCCACTTTGCTCTGCCCTGGACAACAAATTCAGTCCTTATTTCCTGAAGATTTTCAAATGTTTTACTCAATATTATCAAGTCAACACGCATATATTAAGCACCTACTGTGTACCAGACACTGTATGAATCACTGGGGATACAACAAAAGGAAAAAATACAATTCCTGCTTACCCCACACCCCACCAAGGAGCTCACATTCTAAGAGGGAAGATGACATGCAAACAGCTATTCACAAACAAGATATATACAAAATAAATTGAAAATAATCACAGAGAGAAACCATTAGCATTAAGGGGAACTGAGAAAAGCTTCCTATACAATGTGGGATTTTAGCTGGAACTTGAAGGAAGCCAAGAGGCTATCAAATGAGATGATATATGTATAGTGCTTTGAAAAACTTAAGATTATATGTATGTACACACACACACATATACATACATATATATACATATATGCATATACCTCATATATGTAAGCATATGTTATATATACATTCTCCTCCTTAATAGTAAATAGTAAGTTTTGAAAACATTTTGGTCTGGTAATTATTTTATATACACATGTACATATATAATGTTTCAAATACATAATTATATATAGTTAAACTTATTTAATATTTTGTAATGATTAATATGTATGTGTGTGTATGTATATACACATGTAAAAATCATCATTATAAAATAACAGATCCAGATGGAGATATTTTTAGGAACAAGCTACTCTTGAGGGGTAGGATGAGATTCCTGGTCTCTTAAGCTCCCTAACAATATCCAAATAAGCGCCAGGCCTATTTTTCATTTCCCATTTCTCTGTTCAAGTTCTGAGTCCTTCCCAGAGCAACTTAATCTTCTCTCCCTTCTTTACAGAACAGAACTGTTCATACTTCAGGCATTTTAACCCAGGAGAGAGCTCAGAAATCTTTGAAGTCACCACCCAAAAAGGTAAGACCATGCTGGGGAAAGGGGTCTGGATATGTTTTCCAGATACACTTGGTGTTGGACAAAAATGCTAAGTCCTTTGCCTGAAAGGGCTGATTTTTCAATTGCTAATTAAGACAGACCAGTCAAAGTGCCTTTTCTCCCTTCATTCTTTGTTGTTGAAGCCCTGACAGGTGTCCCTTAAAGATAGAAGGTCTGGAGAGTTGTGGATAAAAGAAGTATTTCTTAGAATTCTAAGCCTGATGAAAGGATACACACACACACACACACACACACACACACACATATTCATGTATGTATGTATATATATATCTATATATCTATATGTGTACATGTAGTGTGTGTATATATGTGTATATATATGTGTGTATATATGTGTGTGAGTATAATTCTTACCAAATTATTAAAACAAATCAGGCTTCCTAAATCTCCCTTATGGTTCTCTGGCATGATGAGGGCCCAGAGCCTATTTGAGCTAGATTGTCCTCTTGGCATAAATGACTCCCTACAAGCAAGTGGTTTGTGAAAGTCCTTAGAAGGTTAGTATTTAGTTTCCTGAAATAGTAGTTTATAATAGTGGTCTTCAATAATGAGTGTGGGCAATTAGAATGCCAAGCCTGGAGTCAGAAAGATTCCTCTTCCTGAGTTCAAATCTGACCTGAGTCACTAGCTATGTGACCCTGGGCAAGCCACTTAATGCTGTTTGGATCAGTTTCCTTATCTGTAAAAAATGAGCCAAAGGAAATAGCAAACTACTCCAGTATCTTTGCCAAGAAATGGAGTCACGAAGAATTAGACACAACTGAATAACAACAAAGCAGATGCTGAGCATGGTGGAACATGCATAATCCTTGCTACTAGGGAGGCTGAGGCTGATGGATCACTTAAGCTCAAGAGTTCTGAGCTGCAGTAGGGCTTAAGCTGATTGGGTGTCCCCACTAAGTCTGGCATCAATATGGTAAGCCACAGGAGGCCTCCTGGCTGCCAAAGGAGGGGAGGATGGTCCCAAGTCAGAAACAGAGTGGGTCAAAGCTTTCATTTTGATCAGCAGTGGGATGAGGTCTATGAATGGTCACTGGGTAAGTTATGAAGACCCAGTGTCAAAACAAATAAACAAAAATAATATATGGTTAGCATAGAGCTACAGATACTATAGAGTAGTGTCTTATTCTGCGTGCTCATTCATGTGTCAAACTCTGGCTCCTTTCTCAGAGGATCTGCGCCTTCTACTCTTCCTCTTTAGGAACCACATTCCACTCAGTCATTCTAACCCAAGGGAAGTTCCCTCATCCTCTGGGAGCAAACACAAATTTTACCAGGTTGGTTTGGTGGCACAGACTAGATGCGACAAAACTTTTGGTGGCAGGGAGATTGTACTGTGCAGGTTGACCAGTCTCTGCCCTTATATGATATCTTGGTAGAATACAGCATCTCTGCAGCAGCCATCTCCATCTTCAGCATCGGTTTCATGATCATGGGGACCATCTTCATCCTTCTGTCCTTCAGGAAAAAGAAGGATTACCTTCTGAGACCAGCAGCTCTGTTCTACGCTTTTGCAGGTAGGATATTTGGGTAGGGAGCAGGGCAAAGTATGGTGGGGTAGAGAGACAGAGGACCTGCCTTATCCCCTGGAAATCATTGCTCAGTACGTCTTAAATTTAAGTGAAGCAGTGGGGATGACAGAAATTCTAAAAATAAATCCACAAATCAACCATGGGCCTCAGTTTCCTCATCAGTAAAATGAGGAATTTAGATTAAATGCCCTTTAAGGTCCCTTCCAGCTCCAAAACCATGAACATATTATTTTAGCGCAAGGAGATATTGAGGATAGGGACCATCTTTTTCCACCTTGGATTTGTTGGAGTATACAGAAAGACTTGTTTCTTTGGGAATCTTAGTTTCTTTTTTTTTTTAAGGAAAGAATTGTCAGTCTTATAGAGATCAGTGCTCAGGAGGAGCTAATAGTCTATCAGTCAATAAGCATTTTTTTTCAACAAGCATTTATTAAGTGCCTACTATATACCAGGTAGGCAGCTAGGTGGGAATCAAGAAGACTCTTCTTCCTGAGTTCAAATCCAGCCTCAGATACTTACTGGCTGTGTGACCTTGGGCAAATCACTTAACCTTGTTTGCCTCAGTTTCCTCATCTATAAAATGAGCTAGAGAAGGAAATAGCAAACCACTCCAATATCTTTGCCAAGAAAACTCCAAATGGGGTCATAAAGAGTCAGGCACGAGTAAACAACAATAACATACACCAGACCCTATGCTAAGCACTAGAGATACAAAAAAAAAAAGGCAAAAACACAGTTCTGGCCCTCAAGGAGCTCATATTCTAATGGTGGAAGACAGACCTGTACATACAAGATCTATTATACAGTATAAGTGGAAGGTAACCTGAGAGAAAAGGATCTAGCATTTGGGGGAGTAGGGAGGGGATCTGGAAGATTTCTTGTAGAAGGTGAGATTTGAGCTGTCTTTTTTTTTCCGCATAGATCTTGAATTTATTTCTGTAGACCTGCAAATTTGAATTTGAATTCTCTTACTCTAAATCCAGCAATCATTACACAGCAGCACACTCGCTCTGAATCTTCCTTAATTATAAAGGTGTGTTTCTAGAACTGAAGAGTTCTCATTTTTGTGAACCCTGAGCCCCATGAACCCCACAAACCTCAATCTGATTAGATTCTGCTCTAAGAGGCAAGTGAAATTGGGGTACATGTGTCCATGGTTTAATTTCTCAAAGTGGCTTGACCTGCATTGCATGAAAGTTCAGTCCAAAACCGGTCCCCCCTAAGAGGGCCAGTTCAGAACTGGCTTGGTTTGAGATTTTGGGGTATAGCATTATATGCCCTTTGAAGAGTAGGTGTTCCCAAGGGGGTGCCAATAAACCATGATTGGTCCACATACTAGGAGGTGGGTGGGTTCCTTAGATGACTCAGTCCACAGGGCCCGATACTACCCCTAGTCTTGGAAGTCTGTCTCCATCCAAACCTGAGTAGGATAAAATCAATTCAGGACTGGGTAGGATATTTGAGCTGAGTCTTGAAGGTAGTCTGGGAAACTAAGAGGCATGAGTAAGGAGAGAGAATATTCCAGTCATGGGGAACAGCCAGTGAAAAGCCAAAGGGCTGAGAGATGAAGTGTTTAGTAACACCAATAAGACAATCTTGGTGGATCATGGAGTATATAGAGTGGAGCAAAGTGTAAGAAGATTGGAAAGGGAGGAAGGGACCAAGTTGGGAAGGCTTTAAAAGCCAAATAGGATTTCATATTGGATTCTGGAGACAATATAAAACCACTAGAGTTGGTTGAATAGTGGGTGACATGACCAGGTTTGTATTTTAGGAGGATCAATTTGACAGCTGAATGGAGCAGGGGAGAGACTTGAGCAGGGAGATCAATTAAGAAGGCTATTTTCATAGTTTAGTCTTGTGGTGGTGAGGTTCTTCGAAGCTCTGGGAGTGGGGAGAAGGGCATACATATGAGAGATGTTGTGAAGGTAGAGATGGCAAGACTCAGTAACAAATCAGATACGCAGAGTTACTGTGAGATATGATGCTGAGGTTGTGATCATGGGTGACTGGGAGGATGGTGGGACTCCCAACAGTAATATAGAAATTGGGAATATGGAAGGGTTTGGGGAAAGAGATCATGAGTTTTGTTTTAGACATATAGAATTTGAGATGCCTACATAGCATCTAGTTTGAGATGATGAAGTTGGTAATGCAAAACTGGAGCTCAGGAGAAAGGTTAGAGCTAGAAACATAGATCTGGGAATTTGTGCATACAGGTGGTAATTAAATTCACATGAGCTGATAGGATCACCAACTCGACAGTATAGAGCAAGACTGGGGAACCTGCAGACTTTACATCCTCAAGGGCATCCCTTTGACTGAGTCTAAGTTTTACTTGGGGATTTGTTTTGTCAAGTTTGGATTCAGTCAAAGGGCCACACTTTGAGGACCAAGAGGGCCACATGTGGCCTCGAGGCTGCAGGTCCACCCCACCCCACCCACCGGAGAGCTAATCGCTCCAGAATTTGTCAGACAAATGCCTTTTTTTAGTTCATTTTTTAAAAATACTTAAGACTCTCAGGCTCAAGGAAATTTTCTCCAGGGTCTAGAATGCATCATCTACATTATACAAAGTTGCCTAGAATAGGTGTTGGTATAAGAGCTATGCCCCCTGAAGCTCCTTGATGTGGTGAGGTGGAGTCAGCAGAGCCAGGTTCAAGTTCTGGCTATTTTGGTTTAACTGTAGGATGTTGGGTGAGTAATTTTACCTCTCTAGGCCTCAGTTTCCCCATATTTAAAAGGAAGGAGTTGAACTGGATGATCTCTAAGGTCCCTGCCAGCTTAGAATTCAGCAGGACAGACTAGAACCTAAGAATGATGTCTCACTTGTCCTTCCAGGACTCTGTATCATCGTCTCTGTGGAAGTCATGCGGCAGTCAGTGAAGCGGATGATTGACAGTGAGGAGACGGTCTGGATAGAGTACTATTATTCTTGGTCCTTTGCCTGTGCCTGCACCTCCTTCGTCCTCCTCTTCATCTGTGGCATTGCTCTCCTACTCATCTCTCTGCCCCGTATGCCCCAGAATCCCTGGGAGTCTTGTATGGATGCTGAGCCCGAACATTAGCTTGATTTCATCCTTTTCTGATGACCTGGGCTGAGGACTAGGGAAATAGCAGCCTCCAAGGCTCTCTCTATGGAAGCCAAATGGCTGAGGCCAAGCAGAGGTAAAAAATGGAGACGAGGATGTGGTGGCATCACCCCCATCCCCATCTATAGTAACTGGTTATCCTTTCAAAGGGATCATATTTTCCCTTATCTGAGGCATCTTTTCCATCTATTCCAGTTCCATTCTTTACCCTTCCTACATCCTACCTTCCCCCCTCCCCTCTACTCACCATGATATAGAATGGGGTCTGGATGTGTGACATCTTCCCCAATTCCTATCACTGCATTAGACCTACAAGCTGCTACAATTTTCTGTGCTCCTATTTGAGTGGTGATGGCCCTCTGCTCTAACCTGCTAGCAGAATGGGAGTCCAGAGCTGTATCAGCTTTAAATCAGAGGCCTGATTTTCTACACTCCAAGCAGTGCCTATAGGTAGGAATGTTGGGAGAGTGTGTGTTTCCCCTAGATGTGGCAGTTTTGGTTCATAATTGTTCTTGTACACAATTTCAAACTGGTTTCAGGTTCTCCTTTACAAATTACTCCATCCCTACGTCCCACCCCCACTACATCATTATGTCAGTTTTCTAATGCTCTGTGTGTGTAAGCCCCTGGGAGGAAGTCCCCAAAGCAATAGAGATTAACTTGTAGAAATAGACAACCCCTCCTCTACATAATGCCAAGGCACATAGTGGAGCTTCTTGGAATTCATTCCAAAGTGAATTCCTCCTGTTTGTCCTACTGTTAATCACAATCCCCAAGGAGCATTTCGGACTGGGAAGAAATGAAGTGTGGATTAAAATAAAATTTCTGCAAAAATGTATTTCTTCCGTGCCCTTCCCTGAAAATGCACTTGAATTTCTGGCCATAACCATGGATCCATAAGCACGGCTCTCGACCAAGTCACCTCTTATGGGGTGAAACTATGGAAACAGGGGGATGTCCCAAGGGTGGTGCTGAGGACATTTCTGGGGGGCAGCAAAGGATCTCCCTTACAGAAATTGCTTGGGAGTCCAAAATTTCCATTTAAACTCCTCATTTGAGGAACATTCTTTGGGAGAAACCAGGAATCAGTTTTTGTCTGGCTAGACAGGGTGTTAAAAATAAGAATCAGGCTATTTCTAGGCTTAAGGTCTGTCTTTGCCCAAGAGCGATGTGTCTCTCAGTGCTAAGCCAAAATTTAAACAGCTAGGTCATAGGCTTCTGATGGTTGACATTGGACTTCTGCTATTCCTGACAACAAAGGAAGGATAGCAACCTCTCTCTATTCTCCAGCCCCGTAAATAGCCCTCTGGCTAACAATCTGACTTGAAAATGACTTTTCTGTCCAAGAGAAAAGGGCCTAATTTGAATAAGCAAATCAGGAATCCACTAACTAGAGTACTAGTATGGGAAGCAGAGGTCCTTCTCAGAGCTCCCAATTGGCATATAACAATGCATCAGGCCTCTCTGCCTCAGTTTATCCATTTGTAAAATGGAAAGAATATTTGTTCTCTTCCACCACCACCACCACCACCACCACCAAACACACCCCTCTTACCTAATGCAGCTATGAGTAAGACACTTTTCCATGGATTTTGGGACTTGGTTGTAGGATAGATTTTTAAGACTGTCAAACTTAGAGGCAGACTTGGAGTCATGAATGCCTGGATGCAAACACTGCCTCAGAAACTCCTAGCCATATGACTGTGGACAAGTCACATAACTTCTGTGAACCTCAGTTTCCTCATCTGTAAATGAGACTAATAACATCTGTAGTATCTTCCTCGCAAAGACATCGTACGGTTCAAATGAGTTAATATAGGGTGTCCCAAAAGTCTTAGTGCACCTTTAAGTGCTTGAGGTTTTACAATTGTACTAAGACTTTTGGGATATACCATATATGTTAAAAAAAAAAACTTGCAAAATTTAAAGCAGTACATAGATATTGGGGGGGGGTTTCATTGTTATTGTTATTCTTCAGTTGTTTCATTGTTTCTGACTCTTTGTTGACCCCATTTGGTATATTCTTCGCAAAGATACTAGAGTGGTTTGTCACTCCCTTCTCCAGCTCATTTTTATAAATGAGGAGCTGAGGCAAACAGGGTTAAGTGACTTGCCCAGGGTCACACAACCAGTAAGTGCCTAAGGCCAGATTTGAACTCAAGAAGTTGAGTCTTCCTGACTACAGGCCCAGCAGCTCTATCCACTGTGCCACCTGGCCACCCCACAGATGTTGGTTACTACTAAGTAATCAACAAGCATTTATTAAGCACTTACTATATACTAAGTGCTAACCACCCTGCTAAGTGCTGAGGATACAAAGGGGAAAGAAAGGAGAGGACTAAGCCTTTTGATGGATATGTTCTGGTACCCACTACATGTCAGGCCGCTAAGTAGCACAGTGATACACTGTCAGGTATGCCAGTCAGGAAGACTCATCTTTCTGCATTCAAATGTGGCCTCGGACACTTACCAGCTGCATGACCCTGGGCAAGTCATTTAACCCTGCTTACTTTAGTTTCCTCATTTGTAAAACGAGCTAAAGAAGAAAATGGCAAACCACTCCAGTATCTTTGCCAAGAAAACCTTCAAAGGAATCATGAAGAGTCAAGCACAACTGGAAACAACTAAAACACAATACTATGTGACAGGCACTGTGTTGAAGCACTTTACAATTGTTACTTCATTTGATCTCATAACAACCCTGGAAAGTAGGTGCTATTATTATCCCCATTTTACAATTGAGCAAACAGAGGTTAAGTGACTTGCCCAGGGTGACATAGCTTGTTAAGGTATGAGGCTACTGTCTGACCGTGGGCAAGTCACTTAACCAAAAAGTTAAAAAAAAAAATGAGGCTAAATTTGAACTCAGGTCTTCCTGAATCCAGGTCCCGTGCTCTATACATTCTACTACCTAGCTGCTAAAAAAAGAAAGGCAAAAATATAGAAACAGTCCCTGCTGTCAAGGAGCTTACATACTAATGGAAGAGACAACATGTAAATAATCAGTTACGTTCATGTCTTAGAAAGGGATAGTGAGAACATTGGCTGGTATATGTGGGAGGCATAAGGAATAAAATCTATTTTACCTTAGCAACACAAATAAGTACTTTGGAGGTAGATAAAATGATTTAAACATTGTACGTTGCAGTGAGCCTGAAAACATTTGAGCCGATGAGGTATTTCCTACAACTGATTGAAATTTCACCTGAACAGAAATAAACAAGAGTAATTCAAATCCAGGCTTATACCCTTCACCAACAGGAAATCTGTCTCTGGGGTGTTAAAGGCCTCATAAAGTTGGGGAGCTTTAGTTGACTGATGCTACCAGATCAGACCTCTCTGCCAAGAAGAATTCATTCATACAGCATATTGAAAAAGAAAAAGAATGTTACAAAAATAATGACATGCTAGAAAATGAACACGACAATGCCCATATAAGCATTCACATGTTTTGTTTTGTTTTTCCCAAAATGTCAGTGACCAGTTTACCAGGGAGGATGTTGTTTAATTACTGGATCCAAATAAAGAAGTGCTTACCTAAATGCAGAACTTCATTGACGATGTATCTAGTTTTTTGGTTTTTTGCTTTTTATCATATGGCCAGACAGATGTGTATTTAGTAATAAAACAGTTGTGCCTTTTTCCTTAAGGTACAGGACTGGGGTTTGACACAGATTCTAATCTGCCCCACCCCACCCTACCCCATACAAACCTTGTCTTACATAGCACCATTACTTCCAAAATATGTTTATGTCTATGGTGTTTTTTATCATCACCAAAACAAAAACAAATAAACAAAAAAAGACCCCAAACCCTAAGGTCCAAAGAAGCAAATGATTTGCCTGAGGATAGATAGTGGATTAGAATCCTAGGTATTCTGATTTTTACTGTAAGCATCTTCCACTAAACTAGTTTACCTCTATGGGCCTTTCTCTATTTACATTTGCTTCTCCCTAAAAAACAAACAAACAAACAAACAAACAAAAACATTCTGGGGACATGCAAATGATATTATAAAAGGTAAGGCACTCTTTGGATAAGAAATACAAAGAATCACTAAGTGATGCTAGATTCCTCCTTGAAATTTGAACAACTGTATAAAGTTATTTTTTTTTTACTTTCACAATATCTTTTTTTTTGTAAATTAAAAAAATTTTTAACTGCCAAAGCAAGGAATTTTTTGATCATTGGCTATTGAAATAGTATGCATTTCATACTCAAGTGCACCAACATAGTCTGTTTTCTTTTGCCAAAATGTTAGTAAAATCCGTGAAGAACTTGTCTATTAAAACATGTTTGATTTCCAAATGACAATGCAGCTGCCTCTTCCTGTCCCCTCCCACCTCCATAGTCTTTACATTTTTTAAACTAATTTTTTAAAATTATCAAGCATTTTCTCCCACCCTCACACTCCACTCGGGGAAGGAAAAAAAAAAGAAATACAAAACTCTTAAAACAAATAAATGTAGTTGAGCAAAAGAAGCTCCCATATTGGCCACATCTAAAACTGTATGCCTCATTCTTCATATTGTGTCCATTACGTCCCAGTCAGGAGGTAGGCAGCATTCTTCATTATTTATCCACTGAAATCATGGTTGATCAACGCTTTGATCAGGAAGTAGTTGTCTCTTGCTACTGAAGACTCACTAAATGGTAGTTACAGACACAAAGACGATTAAGTAGTCACATCACAGAGGACTGCTACTACATTGCAAAAAAAGTTAATTAAGGTGATTGTCATGAGGAAAGTTACTTTCTGTACTCTAGACTTAGATCCTAATATGAATTTCACTCAAACGTAACAAGATTGCCCCAATGTTTTTAATGACCTGGGCCCAGCCCTGCACGTTAATAAGACCAAATGAGCTAGGGATGAATATAAAGTCTTGCATTTAGAGCATTATATGGAGGAGGCCTGATTAGAGAGCAGTCGGTCTGAAAAATATCTGGACTCTAACTTCGATATATGGCAGCCAAAAATAATATAAGTACTGTTATCTGTGGCTTCATTAAGAAGGGCTACTTTTAGGAATGAGGAGGTAATGTCCCCCCTGTCCTCTGCCACGGTCATATAATATCAGGGTATTGTGTTCCACTCTGGCCCCCCTGTCTAGGAAGGACACAGATGAGCCAAAGGTGTCCAAAAGAGGGTAGTCGGAAAGGTGAAGGGTCTCAAGTCCATACTACGTGAGGATCTGTTGAAGGAATGGGAATGTTTAACCCAGAGAAGGAAAGGCTCAGGGGGCCATGATAACTATCTTCAGGTATTTGAAAGGCTGTCACGTCGAAGAAGGGTTAGATTGGTTCTGTTTGATCCCAGAGAGGACCATGAGCAGAATTTACAAGAAGGTAAATTTAGATTTGAAAGAAAGAACTTCCTAACAATGACAGGCATCCAAAAGTGAAATGAGCTGCCTTGGAAGAGGTAGTATGTTCCTCCGAATTGGAGATCTTTAAGCAAAAGACAGCTAGGTGGTGCAGTGGATAGAGCACGGGGCCTGGAATTAGGGAGATTCATCTTCACAAATTCAAATCTGGCTTCAGAGACTTACCAGCTGTGTGACCCTGGCCAAGTCACTTAACCCTGTTTGCCTCAGTTCCATTTTCTGTAAAATGAACTGGAGAAGGAAATGGCAAATCACTCCAGTATTTTTGCCAAGAAAATCACTGAAAAACAACTGAACAACAACAACAAAGCAAAAGCTAGATGTTCACTTGTCTACACAGGTCACTTCAGTCTCTGAAATTCCAGGATTCTATTACTCCTCCAATACAAATCTATGTCTGGGACCCCACAGAAAAA